CTATGATAAGAGATCTCACTTTTAACAAAAACCTGACACAAATATTTAGTTTAAGAGGAGACATATGTTTGATTGTGACATCCACTTACCCACCTGCGTCTGCGTCTGCGTCTGCGTCTGCTAACTGATTTTCTCTAATGCCACACTTGTCCTTCAATTTATTGTTAACTTTCTCAATTAGAATTAAATTAGTTTCTAATAAATTTGACTTTGGCATATTAAAATATTGAATGGAAATCAATAAAAATCATACTCAGATTTTAAAAAACATGAATCTGGGTATCAATCGGTAAGTAATTTAGCAAACACAATTTTGAGGTTTGAGATTTGTAGAATTAGTTGGACGGTAGGGTATCTCAAGAAATGTCAGGACGGATCGGTAGTTGTAATTCGGTAACCTGTTGGCCAATTTTAAAGACGGGGTGTGATGGCTTTAAAAAAATGTTTTTAAATTTAAATTAAAAAAATTATATTTTTCATTATATTATTAAAATAAATAAATATATTATAATATAATAATTTAAATTATAAAAATTAATTAAATTTAAATTATTAATTATTTTAATACATAAATATAATTTTTTAAATTTATCTAATAAAAATAATAATTAATAAAAGAAAATTTATAAATTATTCATTTTTAAATAAATATATATATATATATATAAATTTATATAAAAGAAATTATTAACATATTGACTCATTAATCTAATCTATTTTTAACGTATTAGAGACAGAACATGTCAAAATAAAATAGATAAACTTATTTTGTCATCTTTTAATTGGGTCAGACCTTAAAAATTTATTTAGTTTAATTAAATTTTTGTTTGTTTCTCTTTTCTTCTTACTTTCATCTTTATTTACTTGATTTCTTTATAAAAAACAAACAAGCAAATCAAGTTTTTCACTACTCTTCGGAGAAAAATGATAAGATGAACTCTATATATCTTGATAAAGACTTAGGTTTTGAATCACAAAAAATATATTTAATTCTTTTGAGGATTTAAAACTAAGGTAATTTAGGCGAATTTATTTAAGGATAAAACAATTTATTAGTTACTTAAAAAAATATAAATTCTTTCTACAAAATTCTCAATCCTTAATAACTAGAATTTTCATAAATTTAATTATTTCCTCTTCTTCCAAATTATATTTGGAATCTTTAAATTCTTATGGATCTTTATATTACAATATCTCGGATATTATAGTTTTTCATGACCGTCTTAATTATAATTTTCTGTTAGACCTTTGTTATTTTTCTATTACAGATTTGTTTTGTTTACTTTTTCTTTTTTCTATTATAGATTTGTTTTCTTTTTTCTTTTCTCAACATTATATATATATATATATATATATATATATATATATATATATATATATATATATATATATATATATATATATATATATACCTCTTATTACTTCATAATGATAGAAGAAAAATATACTAGCTTTCATTAATCATTCTCATTTTCTCTTTCCTCTCTCTCTAATTGTGTTATTTGATATGGTGTCAAAGTCCTTCTCTTGATAAGTTTATTCATACTACCATAGTTTAACCCCAATATAATAAAATACCTATAGATTTGTGACATTACCGTCTTAGTCACCCTTCCCATGCCCATCTACAAAATATGAAACAAACATACTCTTGCTTGAGCAATGATTCAAACTTTGCTTACAATACATGTCATCATGTTAAACAAATAAAATTATCTTTTCCTTTTAGTTATTCACATACTACTGCATCAGTTGAATGACTTCATATGGACATTTGGGGTCCATGCTCTACCACATTCATGCTTGGTTACAAATATTTTTTAACAGTAGTTGATTATCACATACATTTTGTTTGGATTTTTCTCATGCATTCCAAAATTGAAACATGTTCTCATATTATTCATTTTATTACTCAAATAGAAAAACAATATAACACTACTGTTAAAATGATTCGTACTAATAAAGGTGCTGAATTTTCTATGCATAAATATTTTTCTTCAAAAGGAATCATACATCAAACTACATGTATTAAAAACCCTCAACAAAATAACATTGTTGAACGCAAATATCAACATCTTTTAAATGTTTCACAAGCATTACTTTTTCAATCTCATCTTCCTTTAACTTTTTGGTATTTTGCTCTTCAACATACAACATACTTTATTAATTGCATCTCTACTCCTTTTTTATATAATATGTCACCATTTGAAAAACTTTACAAATATGCTTGTAATATTTCTAACCTACGTATTTTCTTATGTTTATGTTATGTAAGTACATTCACTGTCCAACGCAAGAAGGTTGACCATCGTGTTCATCCCTTCATTTTTTCAGGCTTCAAACCTCACATCAAAGGCTATTTGTTTTATAATTTGCATTCTCATGATATCATTGTATCTTAGAATGTTATTTTTTGTGAGGATCACTTTCCTCACATACATCCTTCTTCTGTTCAAAACTCTCATTCTTTTTCATTCCCTCATTCCTTTTCTTTTATGACTCATGACTACATATCCCCTTCCTCTCCTTTTTTAGAACACATTTCTCCACCTATTTCTTCTCTGAGTTTGATTGTTTCCCCTCCCCATGATTTACGTTGTTCTACCCGTATTCATTAACCTCCAAAATATCTAAAAGATTTTCACAGTATTTTTACATCAATTGTTATCACTACTGCTACTATTTATTATCCCTTTGAACGTTTCCTATCTTATCATCGTCTATCACCTTCTTTTCGTCATTATGTCTTGTCCATTTCCATTATATTTGAACCGAAGACATATGTTGAAGTCGCAAAATTGATTGTTGGCTTAAGGCTATGCATGCTGAGCTCGCTACTTTACAAACGAATAATACTTGGATTCTCACTGATTTACCTCCACATAAAACTGCAATCGAGTATCGATGGATTTTTAAGATCAAATACAATGTTGATGGATATATTGAACAATATAAAACATGTTTAGTTGCCAAGGGATATACACAAATGGAAGACCTTGTTTATTTTGATACTTTCTCTCTCGTTGTCAAGTTAACAATTGTTTGATTACTCCTTGCTCTTGCTGCTAACAATAATTGGCATCTCAAACAATTAGATGTCAATAACGCCTTTTTACACGGTAATCTTCATGAAGAGGTATAGATACAACCCCCTCCTGGTTTACCTTTATTATATACTAGACAAGTTCGTAAACTTCAATGTTCTCTTTATGGTCCTAAACAAGTTAGTCGCCAGTGATATGCATGTCTTTCTTTATTTTTGACTAGTCATGGATATCATCATTCTGCTTCCGATTACTTTTTATTTCTCAAGTTTTCTGATTCTCACATTACTACTCTCCTCATTTATGTTAATGACATTGTCCTTACTGGAGATGATCTTGATGAAATTTAACACATTACTTCTTCTCTCGACTTCACCTTCAAAACCAAGGATCTTGACAATCAACGTTTTTTTTTTATATTGAAGTTGCCTGTACTATAGCTGGTATCCATATTTGTCAGCGCACATACACTCTTGACTTATTATCTAATTATGGCATGTTGGGCTCTCGTCCAGTTTCCACTCCAATGATTTACAACACTCATCTTCATTCTACTTCAAGTGAACCTCTTCAAGATGTTTCCATATACCGTTGTCTGATTGGTATACTTTTCTACTTAACTCACACATGTTCCAACATCACTTATGTCGTGCAACATTTGATCCAGTTTATATCATCTCCTACTCAAGATCATTATCAAGTTGTTTTCCGTATTCTTCGCTATTTGAGAAAGACACCTGGTACAGGCATATATTTTCTACCAACACTCCTCTTTAATTCAAGACCTTCAGTGATTCAGATTGGGCAGGTTGTGTTAACACTCATCGCTCTATCACTAATTTTTGTATTTATCTTGATTCTTCATTAGTATCATGGCGTTCTAAGAAACAACCTACGATATCTAGGAGTTCTTCTGAAGCTTAGTTTTGTGCACTTGCTTTCACCACTTGCGAGCTTCAATGACTCACACTCTTACTTATTGATTTTCGCGTTCCTTCTCTTAATTCAACACTATTATATTGTGATAACCATTATGTATTGTAAATTACTTCTAACCAAGTTTTTCATTAGCAGGCTAAGCATATTGACATTAATTACCATATTGTATGCGAAAAAGTTACTATTGGATTGATTAAACTTTTGCCCATCTTTTTTTGCTCCAACTTAAAAATATGTTCATTGAAACGATATCTCGAACTCTATTTTAAGATATTTATTCAAATTAGAACTACTTAATATTCATTCTCAACTTGACGAGGTAACTTTTTATTAGATGTTTGTTATTTTTCTGTTAGAAATTTATTTACCTTTTCTTTTTTCCGTTTCATAATGTTTTCTTTTTCCTTTTCTTGTACTATATATATATATATATATATATATATATATATATATATATATATATATATTATATATCCCTCCTATTATTTCATAATAGAAGAAAAATATACAATCCTTCATTCTCGCTTATTCTTTGCTCACTCCAGATTGTGATATTTGATAGACAGATAGAACTGAATGAATATTTTATCTGTCACAATTTGATAACCATAAGAACGAAACGACTTTCCCAATCTATATTGCTTGTAAACGCTTACAACTGCGTGAATCATACAAAAAACAATCTTCATTCTATATCTTGTTACATTGTTAATTACTATTAGGGTTCTACATTGGTGCTTATATAGTTGAGTGAAATTATTAATTGCTTGATGGCACCTGGAGCTAAACTAATCGTAATATGTAAATTTGCAATGAAAATGGAGATGTATATTCGTTATTGAAAGTTTTTTGTATTCTTAATCACCTGTCTTCCTCTAAACTAGACCTTGCCAACTACAATTTTAAAAATACTTGTTATTCTCACATTAAAAAACTGAGTTAATTCTGTAATCACTTTTTCAGAGTTTAAGATTTTCTTAATCCTTAGCACAACCATTCATGCATGAATGATTACAATCATTTAGCATTAGACTGATAGAAACCACACAGCTGATATTATAAAAAGTGTATATTAGAACAGCCAATATCACCACTCCAAGAAAGAAAAAAACAGAGAAAAATGGTCATAAAAGAGGAACACGTACAAGGGCTTGATGGTCAAACTCGTGACCTCCCTTTTGTAAATCCTACAATTTCTATACATCAACACCAATGGCATTACTCAACAACATCAACAAAAGCCTTATCCCAGTTGGTGACCAATGGCATTACTCACACAAGATAAAAAAAATGGATGCAAGTTATCTAAGAGTTGCCTAAAGCATCAGTAGACACTGCCAACACAGGATGTCACATTGGCAGGCACTGGAGGAAACATGCATGTACATTAATACAAATACAAATGCATTTGAGATGCCCTTCACTAACTAAACTCACCCCCCTCCAAACCGAGATGAAACAGTAGTTGGAGGAAGTTATGTTCACCAAGTCTTTATATAGAGTGGATGTGATGCCAAGAAACTACAAGCGGATGGTTCATTGCAAACTACTAGGCCTACCAGTTGCTGGTATCTGGGTAGTTTGTGGGAAAGAATGATACACCATCATGTTGTTATCAATTGCATTCGATGAAGATGCACCACCCTTTACTGTTTGATCCAAAAGACGAACCAGTGACATAAATATTTCCATCCTCGTCACGTCCCTGTTTGCCTGCAAAGCAAAATTTATGAGTGGGTGACCTACCACAATATACCAACTTGAGAAGTGATAACAAATACATTTTTTTCCAACAGTCACAGAATTTGGCAATGGGTCGGTTAACAATTCTATAAGCAAAAAAACTATGGTTAGAATGGACTTTGATACCATTATAGACTTAGACTCAACTAAAAGCTAGCTCAAGAGGCAACGGTTATCCCTTATTGATATGCTGTATTTTGTTTTAACCATATCACTAATTAGTCTAGAATCTCCAACACTTCCCAACAAACTATCTCCTATTAGTTGAAACTTGAAGTGGATCCTTCGGGTCTGGAAATAAGGACCAAAAGGAAAACTGAGACCTACCCAGATGAATTTCCCCTACTGGAAGAGTTTCAGAACAATAGAAGATAGAATGTCTTATCATGATTCACGGACATTAATTAGACATGCAGTGCGGATAACAACAGAATCAACACCCAAAGCAGTAGCACTTTTCACAGCATATTTTACACAATTTAATCATAAAATAATTATATGCAAATTCCTAACACACTATCTATATAAAAGCTACAGTTGAATTTAATATATTTCGGTCATAGCTGAGAAAGTCAAATGTTGAAGGCCAGTAGTCCACTACAAATATGGAAGTTCAATTTGGCTATGATCATTTATTTCCCTTGACAGTGTATTACCTCAACAGCAAAGCGTGCCCAGATCTTGTCATTACGAGCTTCCATAACTCCCTTCAAGATGGTTAAGCCTAATCCTCTGATTAAGTCAGCTATTTCCAGAAAGAAACCCCGTTCCTCACAAAGAATCTGAAAAAACCAAGCAAACACAACACATTAGAGACAACACATACCTTTTGAAGGGATAGAGGAATTTTACAAAATTATAAAGAGTCAATAGTTACCTCTACTAGCATCTGACGAGGAGGATTAAGATCCTCAACAATGATTGGACAAACCATTGATTGCGAGCCAAGCTCATATGCCCATGTAGCCCCTCCCTCAAAGTTATCTTTTAATAGCAAGCCACCTTCTTTACTAACAATCTGCATATTCAGGAAAGAATTATTTGTCAGCATTTTCCCCCTCATTAATGTTTCCTAAAAGCAAAACATTAATTCAGCCATTTATCCTTTTTTATATTTATGCTGTACATATAAATATTTGTAGACCAGCTTTTTTCTGCATGAAAGCCATACTAGTCGCAATGCTGCCAAATATAACTTGTTATTCTCATTATTCATCATATCAATACAATGCTGGTGAAAAAAACAGTTACATATCATAAATAGATAAGTTGGCTGAATCTAAGATACGGACAAAAAAGCAGTGGATGATATCTATACCTTAGATTCCCCTGTCTGTTTCAGCTTGTCAGCATGCTTTGTTACACTTTGCAGGAAAAGCATATGCTTGATGGTCTTTTCCAGAAGTGCATCTATGCTACACTGTTGAATTATAATGCGAAATTAATGAAAATAAAATCAGCACCTCGATCTGATATTTAAACAAAACGTTCAGCATTGGTATATAAGAGAGCACAAGAAAGCCTACATACTTTTGCTCCATTTGGCACAATTTCTCTTAGTTCTTTCACACGATCTTGAATCATTTGGCGATCTTTAGGTCGAGGTCTGGGATTCTCTCCAGGTTTAAGTCTTTTCCTATTCGATTTGCAAACTTCTTCTGGTCTCTTAGAGTATCCAGTTGAAACACTGCTTTCACGTTTCACATTACTACCATTCTCAACCCACGAACTAAGCTTAGAACCATATATGGAAGTAGTTTGAGAGCAGTTTCCAGCATCATCCTTGCTGCAGCCAGACCGAAGAGAACTTGTTTCTGCAGCAGCTCTTTTAGCCCCGGTCTTAGGAAAATCAAACAATCCCCTCCGGACATGATCAGACATAACCTGCTTGCAGCCAGGAGAGGAAACAGAGGCAGTACTAACCCTTGTCAATGTTGTCCTGCAAGACATTTCATCAGAATTCTGTTTTGGAGCAGATTGAGCTTTTGAAACAACAGCATCTAAGAGGTGGTCCGTGCCTGTTCCAGAGAAGATGCCACTGTCTGATATTGCATCTTTAACTGAATAGCTATTCTCAGGCCGTACACCTTGCAAATTCATGCATGTTGCCTTTCTATCCAGACATTCTTTGTTGGCATCTGAATCAGTGGCAAGCAACTTATCCCAGTTTCCATTGAGAAGTCTCCTTTTCAAATCCACACCTAAAACATCGAAGAGATCATCACCTGATGGAAGCTGAGTATAGGCATCTTCATGCTTAACATTCATTTTCACCATATTTTGACTAGAAGTATCTTTATCATGGCAATCTTGAACAAAACCAGGGATGTTATCACCCACATGCACAGGCTCCTCATGATGTAGGTATGGAATCTTAAGGGCGGCCTGAAGCAAATCATCATGTATCCTTTCATCAGTTGAAAGGAAAGAATCACAAGCATGCTTTAAATCAATGGGAAGGTTCTTCTGACCAGAGCTTTCTAGATTCACATGACTGTTAACTGATTGATTACAGAAATTAGGCACAGAACAGAGCCCAACATCAGTTGTTGAATTGTTTTTCTGAAGTCCAAACCCAAACTTGTGAGTTCCAGAAAATTCAGAAGTGGTTACTTTGGGAGAATTTGAAACCGAGCAGTTATTCATATTTGTCCTCAAAAGATTACTCCCACCACATATTGGGATTCCTCCAAATAGTGAACTGCTACCAGAACTGTGATTCTTTTCAAGAATTTTGTCTCCATCTGTTTTCAGTTGAGGTATATTTAAGGCACTTGATGGATTCATGTTAGGATAAACGTGACTCTGTCTTCCAACACCTGATATTTTTTGTTCCATATAGTTAAGGCTGCAACTCAGATTTGATTGATTGAAACCAGCTAATTCATTGAATATAGATCTAGCATTATAAGCAGAATGCTGCTGCATACATGAATCAAAATTTGGTATCACTTTAGCTTCAGCCTCAACAACTGTCTTCTTCTGTTGGACACAGGCATTTGTTTTGATCATTGAATGAGCCTTTGGTTGGCAAATGCTATCAAATATGTGGTTTGATTCATAGGTTTGAGGTGTCAATACAGAACCCTGGTAATTATTTGTTTCTCCCCTTGGAGGATGTGGTGATGGAGCAACAGGCCTTGCAGCAAGAGTAGAATTGGTTAGTTGGTTGGAATCATTAACTGCCAAGGGAGTGCAGTTAGAAGTAACGACAGGTGGATCAACAGTGACAGGTACACCAATTCTTTCATTAGAAACTTTTGCTGAATAATCTTCAGATAGAAGGGCACCAGGTACACATCCCAATTGCAAGATCAAGTTCTTCACATCATTCACAAATCCAATATCTTCCATTATCTGCATTAACAAGATTGAAAGGCTGCATTAGTTCACAACGTTCGAGCAGCAGACAAAAGCCAAACTTACTTGGCTGCATGTTATGTTCGGTCACTAGAAAACTCAAGTATGTATACAATCATGAACTTATAAGGATGGACACATTCTAAGTGAAAGAGCTCATATGCCATTCTTTCAATTTTCAAGAATGTACACATTTATGACATAAATGGCGTGATCCATGAATGGTATATGGCCTTTAAGTTGTTGACCTGAAGCATTCATTTGTGATCCAAAGATAATAAGGACAATTCAGTAACTTCTCATTATAATGCCATTTTCCATCAAGACATCATTGGAGACATGGTCTTAAGTTTTTCTAAAATTACAGACCGATTGAGAAAGACTTACTGGTAACAAAGAAGCAAATTGAACAACCCCATGGGGAAGCACAGGTATAACTGCTACCGTCTGCAATCGATAATAGTCCACAATTAAGAAACAGTAATAAAAATGCAATTCAGGATAATAATTGCAATTGTGAAGCATAATAAAATCACAAACCTGCATTCCAGCTGAAAATTGGTAATGCAACTCAGGATATACCTACAGAAAAAAAAAACAGCAATAACAAAAAATGAAAAAGAAGTTATGTTCACCTACTCCAAGCCTTTGACCATTCCTAGAATGTATACACTCTATCACATAAAAGATGCTTATGTCATTCACTTTTTATATTATGTTAATATACACTCGTTTTGACCGACAGCCTGAGTAAACAAAAATCTTATTTAAAAAATGGGAACATAAATAAATGAAAGATTATATAAAATTTATTTGCCTTGCCATCAAACTTCAAAAGGAAACCAAGATGTTCAACATAAACTATTTGCACATAATTCAGGAGGAATATAATCAACTCCATACCTCTGGTGGATATGCATCTCTACTGAAATTGTTCGTAAGAATCCACTGATAATTTCCTGTAAATGCTGCCCGTCCAACTATCCTGGTTAGCAGCAAAAGAAGGTACTTGAGTGAGATGGGAATGAGGGAAAACACTTCAAATTATGATAAAGCTAAACAATGAAAAGGAAGAAACAGGGAGCACAAACCCTTCTCCAGCAATACTGACTGAAGTATTCACCATCATTTTGTTAATCAGTCCACAGACTCTGTCTTCCTCCTGAATCCCCAGCTGAGACTCAGAAGAAAACCAGCATCCTTCCCCATCTCGGTACGGAAAATTAGACATCCCCACAGTTCGTGGAGGGAAAGGAGATGGCAAGGGTTCATAGTAGTAATCTTCCCAGATTAACAACCTGCCAATTAAACCATACTCAGTTAAATAAACACACAAAACCATAGCTGCAATCAGAGCATAAAGTCACACTCTTAATATTTTGGCGTCTACCAGGCAGGTTAGAAAATATTGTGGGAAAGCAAATAAAAAAAAATTAAGAGAAGCAACTATAGATTCATAAGTTTAGTTAAAAACAAAAGAAAAGGTTTACATAAGATGAGGAAAAGAAAATAATAATAATAATAATAATAATAAATCAAGCTGCGGTTTTCTATTTGTATATTTAATTTCTACCTGTAAAACAAAACATTGAACGAAGCACAAACTACTAATTATTTTTCATAATTCTTTTTTCACAATTACAAGCTTCAAACTGAAGATCCTGAGCTAAGCAAACCCTCTTACCCACTTCTAGTTGATTCAGGAATTTAACTCTTTACAACCAAAAAATTCAACAGTTATTCTTCGGAATACTCAAAGAATCATGGAGATTAGCATTAAATAGATAGATTAACAGATTAATCCAGCACCATCTCAAATTAGCTCAAGAAAAAAGCGTCAGCTTTTTATCAATGAAACAAGAAGATAAGACCAAATAGAATCAAACAAGTACTGAATCAATAGATAGTGCCTTTACAAATCAAAGCAAATAAACTTCTTTTAGTCAAAGTAACAAGCTTACGTTTTAAAAAAACAAAGATTCTTGAAAACCAAACAGAAGAGAAGCAACAAAGGCCCAAATAAAGTTCCAAAACAGGAACTACCGTGTGGACTTTATCTCGCAAACGAAGCAATCCCAGAAATAGAATCTAAACACATGAGATCCCCCCTTTGAAAGTACGAACATCAAAATCATATCCAACCGAAAAAAACCCCAACAAGCATACCTGATTCTCCCTGAATTTCTCAAAACCAAAAGTATAGAGAGAGAGAAACACAAGGCACAAAGAAAAGCCATTTGAAACTCACTTGGAATTGTTGCAACCGATCTTCCAGAACACGGCATAAGACCAGCGATTCCTTGAGCACAGAGTCCTCAAAACTTGTTTGAGCAAAACCCCCATTTGGTTTCTCGCAAAAAGGATCCGAAACCGGTCAAAAGTTGTCCTTTTTCCAACGCAATGGAGTCACACTAACATTCATTCACGAAGAAAGAGAGAGAGAGCTAAAGGCACATTCCCGAAAAACTAACTACCACGGCACGATCCTCTCCCTGCCTGTTTAGTTCTCAACCCCCCGCTTCGCTTTCTTTCCGGATCCAAGTTCACGACAGTAAGTTTCCGGTACCGGCAGGCCATCCTCCAGCAGAGGAAGTTCTAGAGAGAGAAGGAGGAAGGGAGAGGGAGAGAGAGAGAGAGAAAGAAAGAAAGAGCGCGAGGAGGAAGAAGAAAGAGCTCGAAGTGACAAAGTTGAAACGAAAGGTCTCGAGGGAACTACACTATCCCACGAGATTCAAGCTTGTAGAGAGCTATGACCTCCATTTGTGCAGAGAAAATGGTAGAAGAAAGAGAAAGTTGAAGAGAAGAAGAGGGTGTGGTTTGGTTGGTGAGGTGAAGTGAGAGTGAGATCGTTGGTGTCTGTGTTCTCGTTCAGGTTCTGTGGAACTGTGATGTGCTTTCTCTTTCCTAGCTTCTTCTGTTCTGTTCTCTGTGTTTGTGGGGTGTTTTTTTTCTCTCTCTTTCTGATGACCCTTGATGAGAAAATAAATGGAAGTGAGAGGGGAGGAAAAGGGTTGAGAAAAAGGAGGGATTTGGGGGAATATTACAGGGGGAGCCACTCAGCAGAGAAAGGTTTGTCGGATTGTGGAACAGAGAAGATCTGGTTTCAACAGTTGTTGGTGGTGGCCATGGAAAAATTATTGTGTGATTTCAAATTTTCATGTTTTTAAGATTTTTTATTTTTACCAACACAATCATTTTTTTCCAAAGTCAATCTTGTTTAAATTAAATAAATTTACTACACAAGATATATTTTGAATTTTTTTTTTAAAAAGGTGGAATGCTTATTATTTGAATTAGTTAAAAATATGTGTAACTTGATTTATGTGTTTTATAGTTCTTGTGTTTAAAATCTTGCTCAATATTTTTATGTAAATAACATGTTGTTTGAACGAAAGAAAACGTTTTTCTCTTACTTAAACATGATAAAATTTGCACTACTGATAAAATTAAAATTATCTAATTCGTCTTTTAAGTTAAAAACTTTGATTAAAGCAAATACCTAAATAATTAATTATAAATTGTTATATATTTTTAACAGTCTAAAATAAAAGTCTTATAAATTGTAAGGTCTTTTTCAAATATTTACTACAACTATGTCGTTAAAATTTAAACTCAATTATTAAAAAGTTAATTAACTCATCTACTAGATAATTACTTTAAAATTGAATTATTTAAAAGTTTTACTTATTTGATAACAAATTATTAAAAAAAAATCCTTTTCAATTACTATATTTCAGGCTAAAATTGACTGAGAAAACCTGAAATGATAAATATGCATTGATAAAGAAAAAAAAACATTAAATAATTTCTCTTTCCCCATGAGTTAGTAGTGGGGGTAGCTATCTTGCTGACGTCACACAATGATTGCCCCTGACTTTTCTGGAAATTACAAGAATGGCACACCACCAACTTTTCTGGGGTTGATGTTGATGGCCCCAGTTGAAGGATAATTGCAAATAAGTACAGTGTATTATAACAAATTGTGGAAGGATAATTATGAGTTAAAAAATAAATTGTGATATAATGTATATGAAGTGTTGTTACATGCTGATAGATATATATATAAAGAATGATTCATGTGAAGAGGAAGACGATGATGAGACATAATGGCGAGTGAGGTGGGAAAAATGATGTGGGATGTCTGTTGTTGGAGGGCTTAAACCTAGGAATTATGATGCATGAAAGGCTGTGTTATTGAGATTTTGCATTTCTTGTTTAATTGTGGTAATAATGGCATTGTGACAGTGATGATGGCTGGTTGTTTAGTTGTTCTGTGTCAATGATTAATTGTGATGTAGCAGTAGTACCAGTTATTAAACCCTAATTGTACCACCCTACATAAAATGGCTACATATTTTTGTGATCACAATTTAATTAGCTACTAGGATAAATTAAATGCATTCAGATTTGGAAATCAAAAACACATTTTTCATTTGACTTTCTTTTTTTCCTTTCCCAATCAAGTTTCTGTCTCCAATCACCAAAGCTACTTCTGTTTTTAAACACAAATTTCAAGTTTTATTAATTATAATATATAACCATATTTTATCTTAATTAATTGGGGTATTTTTAATAAGAATAACTTAAATAAAGTGTTTTTCATTTTAAAATATAAAATATAAATTTATTATCTCACTCCATATTTAAACAATTTATAACTTATTTTAGTTTGATAGATATTTTTAAAAAACTAAATAACTTATTATCTTTTTAAATTTATTATCTTTGTAAACAACTAATAAATTTTTAATCAACTTATTATTTTTTAAATATTAATAAAAATAATTTTTACTGTGTAATTTTTATAGATATACCTTATAAAACTTGAATAAAAAATTTATATTTTTTATTTAATAATGATGTTTTAACTTAAAATATACAAGAAGAATATGTGAAGAATGTATGGTTAATAAATGTTTATTAATGTGTGGATATTAACTTTAAATTATCTAATTAATTTTTGAACTTCATAGTTTTTCTCTTGTGGTCAAATTCTTTTCAGAAAAAGCTAAAATTATAATCGTTTATTCTGTCGAAGTAAACTCAATCTTTTTAGTACACATTCTTTCATTATTTTTTTATGCAAAATCTCATTATTTATAGTTTTTCCATAAAACCTTAAAATACAACACGTAATTGTTTTTTATCTTAATATTATGAAGGAATTTTTAGAGGAAGATCACGTAAACCTCCTCAACTTCCTTTTTCTCTTAAAAAAAAAATATTTGAATTTGTCCAAATATAATAATAAAATAATCACTTACGACACTTATTATAAATTTATATTTGAGTACACTTTCATATATATATATATATATATATATATATATATATATATATATATATATATGGATATAAATCATTGTTTAACAAATTTTTTTCTATGTTTGTTAAATATTTTAAAAAAATAAGTAGTTATTATGATAATTTAACATATGTTTGGTAAACTTATTTAGAAAATATAAGCAGGAATTATGTTTACTATTTTTAATTGATAATTTAAGTTGCTTAAAGTAAATATTTATTTTCTAAACACAAACAAACAAAAATAATGCATATAAAAAAAAGTGTAAAAAATATTAATTATTAATTTTATTATAAGTTATTAAATTTGAAACATATAAAATTATCTTTTTTTTAGTTTTTTTTTCAGAAATTTGTTATAAAAAATAAAAAAATCATGTAAAGTATAATTAACTTATGAATAATATACTGAAGAACTTATATAAATTCGTTTATGTAAAAATATCTATTTTCATTTTATTTTTCTCTATAATAAAAAACGTATAAAATGTATCTAATTACTCTATAAGAAACTTAAAAAGTTTATCCAATAATGGTCCTACTACATTCGAAAATGATGTATATGCTTGAAAATTATTATATGATTCGAAAAAAAAAATCTTTTTATATACAATTGTTAAATACATCTGATTAGGTGCAGCTTTGTGGAATTTTCATGCTATGTAAATAGTATTTTTACTAATGTATTAACAAGTGAATAACTAAATTTGTTTTTTCTTATTTTAACTATAAGAACTTTTTAATTGTATTTATATTTCTAAAACTTAATCTTTAAAATTTTGTATTTTGTTAAGGAAAGATTCCCCTACTCCAAAAAAGTAAAAAAAAAAGTAATATTTTTTTTATGAACTTATAATCTAAAATAATTTTCCACCATCATTAAATTAGAAAAAAATGATAAAAATTTTAATTTTTAATTTGAAATTACCTAGATCCTTTCTCTTGTCTTAAAATAAATAAACAAACCCTTATCCACTTTTTTTAATCCTTGTATTTCATTTCCCCCATTCAAACCCATCACTAATCTCACAAACTATAAGTAAGTCGTGAAAATCTATATCAACATGCTTTCTTTTCTTCTTTCTTAGTCTTGGTGCTTATATTTATAGAACATTAGCTTCCAACCAAGAAGAAAAAAAAAAAAAAGATATTCTCTTTGCATCTTTTTGTATGTATATATGAGTGGGTAGTTGTGCTTTCTTGTTTCGAAAGGACAAAATTCTAGTATTCTATAAAACATGTGTGTGTGTTGATGAGGTTGCATTGCAATTGAGTATATATCTGCATGATACACCTATGAACCTAACCTCTTCATCAAATATTCATAGCTTAGGGTAGCATTTGGAATTTCAACCTATTATATGCCTCAACGGGTTACATTTTCTTAATATGATTTCTGTTCTTGGTTTTTGGTGTCTTTATAGAACAGAACAAACCACATTGTTAATCAAATCCAAGAAAATCAGAAACTAAAATGCCCCATAATTTTTCTTCTTTTTATAATTCCGCTTCTGCGTTGTATTCTTTTTCTATCCTTCTGCATGACTCTGGTTGGCTGATACACCACTCACTGTCCCTACCTCACCAGCTTTATTATTAAAAAAATTAACGTAATTAATGTGTAAAGTATCTTTTGTTTATAATTAACTAAGATGTTTAATTATCCTTCATTTGGAATCGTGCATCTTTCATTCGTTTACTGAAGCTTATACTTTTACATGTGCTTACATGTTATGAAGTTCTCATAAATCGTGATTTTAAAAAGAATAATTAGTATACCTATCGGCACAAATAAATTAAACATTCTGTGCATTTTTTATTATGTAGTTTAGTGAATTTATTAGATGAATGATAATGCTATAAACCAGATTATTTCTTTATTCAGTGAATTAGAAAAAAAAAATGACTAAATGTTTTAATTTAGATAAACTTGATTCTTCTATCTTTGTCAAATATTATTTATGCAGAACTGAATAATAAATCAAATATAAGAAAATAATCCTGTCAAAATTAAGTATGGAAGAAAATCCTAAAAGAAAAATAATTCTGTGATCATATATAGTTCATTTCATATAATATGAAGTAGTATTTATTATTATTATTATTATTTTAAAATAAGTAAAGTGATAGGTTAAATGAGTGAAATATTAAATTATCTTTCTCTTCGTATATTTATATTTTAAAAATAAAATAAATAGGTTATTAAATATTCAAATAAAAAAATTATGGATCAATCTATCACTTATTTTAAATCTATTAAAATCACTTATTAGAGCATTTTCAAGTATATTTGTTAAGAAAAATTATTTAGGAATAAAGAAAATATTTTATTATAGATTTTAAATTTAAATTTTTAAAAAATGAAAAAAATTGTTTAAAATAAAAAAATACTTATATAAACTATTCTGACCAAATTAAAACAATTCATTTATTAAGATTCCTAATAAAATATTTAATTTTATTTTAATTAATTCATGTTAAAAAATTTCTTTAGAAATACACTTAGTGAGTTAAATTTGTTTTAATCATGATTTTTTTTTCAAGTTAATCTAAGCTGAATTGAGTTATGGATTAAAACATATTCACAGCCTGATTTCCATAAGGAAAGAAAAGGAAGAATGAGAGTATGATTGGTACGACAATTAGTGACCAACATATTTTTGCTGAGACTAAAAAGAAAAATATAAAAAAATAGAATGGAGCAGTAGTTGGAGACACCAGGACACATGAGTGTGCGTTTTGTTGATGTGGTTTGTTTCTGGGTTTGTGTTGTGTTACTTTTTATTATTTCACCTAACAGTAGGGTATAGTAATTTTTGTGGGGAAACGAGTTAAAAGATTCCTATTCTTCTGTCTGCTCTCTGCAACTTTGATAATCATATTCAATCTTTTTTCTCACCCCTCCACAACCTTCACTCTTCTTCCACTTTCATGCTTCTCTTCTGCCAATGCCTCTTTTATAATCCATGGAGTAACCTTTACTCAAACAACTCTAATCTAATCATTTCATCTCAACCACATTATCATAATACACATTTCCTTTACCATCTCTAATATGCAATTACAAAAATGTTTAAAGTCATTCCTTTTTCAAAAAGGTAGTTTACACACAAAGTTTTTTTAGTAACATTAACTCTAAGCATGCATATACATATATATAGAGAGAGAAAAAATGTGTCATTGGAGTACAAAACAAATATCAAACAGACAATGAAAAAGAAAAAGAAACAAAGAGAAAAAGTGGGAGGTGACTTTTCTAAAGTTTTATCCTTACCAAAACATTGGACCGGACCATGCAACTTTGTCCATATCTTTATGTAGTTTACCATAGGAAACAATCATAATATTTCTATATTAAAATTTAATTCAAAAAATGTTGTTTTTTTTTACAATGAATCATACGTTTATTTCGTCAAAATTACTGTAAAATTTTATTATTCGTTAGATTAATGTTTTTATGGATTAATTAATTCATCATGTAAAGAATTGACTTTGATTTACCTTTTTGTTTCACTAAAAATTATATTACTCTCGCTGGTTTTTTCTTGCTATAAAAAAAAAAAAAACTAAGAAACTATTCGGCCTTAGTAACGTCATATATTATCACCTCAGAAACCTAGGAGAACAGAAAAGTGAGTAAAATGATTAAGATGGTTGTTAATATCCCTAAACCACATAAGACTTAATTAATGTGGGACATTAAGGAATCAGGGGACAAGCAACCCTAAGAAGTTGTAGCTCAATAGGTTTTGCCAAAGGTAGTGTGTACCCATTTCATGAAAAGGTGGGAATGCTTATTTGGTCATAGTTTTGATTTTGAATTGGCACACACATGTAGCAATCAATTAGCAGAACCCAACGAAGTGAGGCTTTTGACTTGTTTTGGCGCTACAAATTATCACAAGTCTTATGTCAAACACATCGCCCTTTAGGGTTGTCATAAGGGTAGATATGCTAGTAAATTAGTGACCAATTAGTGCCCTTTCACAAGCATATGCGACTGTTATATGCATTAATTTAAAAGGTTTAATCCGTATGGTCATTTTCTCGTAAAGTAGAAAGGGATAGCATAGCACATACCTTTCTCCGTATTTCAGGCAAACCTACGTTCAAGAAATTCCGTTTTCTCTTTCTTTTTTGATGCATAGTTTATTTATAAATCAAAGGAATCAATCGTGTTCATGAAATTAGAGACCATATAAGGTGATCACAACAAGATGGTAAAAAAAACTAGCATTTTCTTTCCTTCACAAACTCACTTCATCCAACCTGAATATGATTGTGTACGAAGTACCAAAAATGATGAAGAATCCAAGATAATGGCTGAAGGGACCTGGAAAAGGCGTAAGGGAAAGGGAATGGGGGCAGTGTCCTTGGGAGGTTACCCATAAGTCAAAATTTCTTCCATTTGTATATCCATTGAGAAGGAAGGGAAGGGGTAAAGAAAGACAAAAAGAGACAAAAAGATCTTTGGGTAGGATTTGGCAAGGATTATTATTCCCACAAGGGTGTGGAAAATGGGGGATAAGGGAGAGGCTTTTTCTTGTGGGTGGGTTTGTGTGATCCACTCCACCATACAAACTCACAAAAGCCCTCTCAAATCATTTTAGTGAGAAATGATGATTCCATGGAAAGGCCACAAGAAAGGTCACTAAGCCAAAGGAAAGGGATAAGCTACAAATTGTCACAAATAAGCATGAGAATCTTGACTATATATGCTCTTATGCCAACTCCCAAATCATTTTCCTTCTATCTCCATGTTAACCTAACGTTTTCATTTTCATTCTTTTGACTTTACACAAATACACTAAACCAAACCAATTACAAAATACTTTTAAACTAAAAACTTAAATAACCACATTTTTTATTCTCAAAAATGTCCGTCCAACCCATGCTATCGATACATCTTAATTCTTCCCTCAATTTTGTCTTAACCAAAATTATTTTTTTTAATTAATTAATTACTTAATTAACCGGTGAAATGAAGAGACAAATTTGTAGCTTTAATCGACATTCATCAAAATGTCCCAAACATAAACATGTATAGAACCATGATTGGGTCCGCTTCATGTTGACAACTATTACAGCAACTACCAACAAAATCATAGTGTAAAAAGAGAAAATTAAAAGGAAGAAAAAGAAAATTGAGCATGAACATTCATTTTCTTTCTCTTCAAGTGTATGGTTAAGAAATTCCCTTTGGCAAGGAAAGTCAATAAATAGAGAAAAAAAAATATAAACAAATTGTTTAATTTTATTTAATACAAAGTAAAATCTAATGAAGACAATTATTGCAGAGATAATACCGTTAGCAAAGATATTCCGTGAAAGATTAAGATAACGTTAAATGACTATTATGAGTTTAAGACATTAGATTATATCACTTTGTCTCCTGTCAAACCAGACAGTTTTAACTTTTTTTGGCTTATGTGATTTTAATGGATAACAACCTTTTTTTCAATAATTTATTTAATTAAAAAACATTTTTACTACATATGACATGTTTGCAAGTTTGTTGCCCTCGATTGTGTTTAGATTGAAGAATAAAATTGAGGGGTGAAAAATTAGAGAAAAACAATGGAAATTGAATTATTTAGATAGAGAGAAAGAGAATAAATGGTAAAGAGAAATAAATATAAAAATATAATAAATAATATTTATTTAAATAATTAAAAATAATTAAATAAATTAATAAATGATCAAAATATATTTTATATAATTTAATAAAAATTTATAGAAATTAAAATATAACTTAATATAAAATAATTATTTAATAAAATGAATAAAAAAATTAAATTAAATTAAATTATATATAAACTGAAAGTAAATATAATAATTTAATTAATTCCTCTTACATTATTATTTTTAAAATTAAACAACAAAATATATATATATATATATATATATATATATAACTTATTTTTTTATAAATAAACTTTCAATAATAATAATAATAATATTATTATAATATATATTATAAAATTAAAAATATATTTAAACTTATATGGATAAAAAATATATACATATTTTTAAATATGTAAAAAATTTCAAAAACATCAAAATATTAAATAAAATATATATAATAATCTTCTAAAATTGGTAGGATGAGAATATTTTGTTCTTTTACAATAAGTCTCCATCTCGTATTTTTGGGTTTCTGTTTATTCATCGTAACCTATATCTATTTTATATTATTTCTAAAAATAATTATATATATGATAAATTAATTTTAAATTTTTAACATATTTTTATATAAAAATAAATATTTTTAATTTTTATATTTTTAATTATTTCTATTATTAATAATTATTTATTTATTTTAATTTATTATATTTATATTAAAATATATGTAAAATAAATATAAAATATTTTTTCTTTATATAAATACAAAATTATTATTATAATAATAATTATTATTATATATTATATATTATAACATTGTATTTAAATATTTAATTATATATATATAAGTTAATTATTTTTTAAATTATATTTTAAAATATTTATAAATGTAAAATATATAATTTAAGGAAAAATATTTAATAAATTATTTTTTATTTAATTAGTTTAAAATGATAAAAATTTTAATTATTAATTCTTTTTAATATTTTAAAATATAATTATTTTAATAACAAAATTTGATATATAATAAATAAAAATAATAAAATTTAAAATATAAAATTTAATAAAAATAAATTTTAAATAAAATAATATTAGTTATTATTAAGATTAATATAAAATATTTAGAAAAAAAATAAAGAAGAAGAAAAATTAATTTTATATTTATCAAATTTATTAAAAAAATTAAAATAATTGAAAAAAATTAAGAAAATATAAAAAATAAAAATAAAAAATAATATATAAAAATAATTAATATAAGAAATTTTGAAAAAATAAAAAATAAGAAATGAAAAAAAAAATAGAAAAATAATATTATATATAATATAAAAATAAAAAATATTTAAAATTTTAAAATTTAAATTTAAATATAAGAACGAGATATAAGTAAATAAGTAGGAGGTAATGATTATATTATTCATCACAATTTTTTCTTATCTAAACAAAATCAGAATCTATCTTATTCTCGATCAACACTTTTTTTTTTTTTTTTTTAATAACGGATGAGTAGTCATGCGTTTTAAT